TGCAACCTACTCCACTCAATAGCAGAGCATTAGAATGAAAATTGAAAAACATAACCCTTTATGTTTTTCATATCTTTCAAGAAAAATGCAAGATTTGTTTTCCGGTTTAGTTCTTTTTATACGTGCGAATTAAAAAAGTGGATAAATATATATGAGGATGTCGGTTTAAACGCAAATATATATAAATAAAATATTGGTAAACCTTGTATATCACATGGATACAATCTCGTTCACCAAATATATGGTCCAAAGATAAGGTACACGTTGCATTGCACCATCAATAATTGAGCCATGTGCTTGGCATTGTATCTTATGGATAACACTGGATATTATATGATTGGATGTCAGATTTTATATAGTCTCAAGAAATGTGCATTACATTTACCATATATCGAAATCACAAGTCCCTCTATGACACAATTCATCAAACACCTTACACGTGTGAACAAGCGCATTACATTTACCATACATCGAAATCAGTGAAGGCCGAGTTATCACAATGAAGGTCGGGTTTCAGATGCTGCGGGCGATGATTATCCGGTTCATATTCCTGCAAATGAAGATTCAAACTCAGTGAATGATGCGGAAAAAAACAATTGAATGAGTTAACCCTAGAAATGACGTGAAAATGAAATTACATGTTTGTCTGGATGGTGAGTGAGATGGAGGTCAGAGGTGATTTTGGAGGAAGAGATGATTTTGAAGAAAAGAAGTAGAAGAAGAATCAGAGATACTTTCAGGTTGATTTTAGGGGTTTTTGTGTTCTGAAGGTTATTTTAAGGTTCTTCATTCTAAAAGGAATTAAGAGAGAAATATGAAAAACAAGTGGGAAATAGTTAGCATCGGCTCATCCGTTTCTATCAGATAAAATAAATACATTTGAAAAAAATAAAAAAGTTAGTCTCGGTCCATCCGTGTCTAATATTTAAAAAAAATAATTCAAAAATAATTGTAAAAAAAAACTTTGAGATGACTTTTTTTGCTTTTAAATAGCCTCGGTTTTGTTAAGGCTAGTTAGCCTCGGTATAGGTGGTCGATGCTAAATTCGCAGTTAAAAATAGTTAGCCTCGGCTTGTCCGTGTCTAATATTTAAAAAAAATAATTCAAAAATTAAAAAATATCTAGCCTCGGCCTAACCGTGTCTAATGAATTAAATAAAAATAATTCTAAAAGAAAAACTTTAAAATGGCTTTTTTTGCGTTTAAGTAGCCTCAGTGTTGTCGAGGCTAGTTAGCCTCGGTGTCGGTGGCCGAGGCTAAATTCGCAGCTATAATGAAGTTTTCTAGTAGTGTTATGACATTAATTTGTTTACTTGTTTATGTGATAGATGATGAAGGTTATGTTTCAAACACACGTTTATGTGTGAAAAACTTGGTTGCAAAATCAAAGTCTGATGGAACATGGATAATACTTGAATTTGATAAGGATCATTGTGCAATAGGACCAGCTTCTGGTTTGTTAGCAGGGTATTTGGGGATAATTATTAGAATGTTTAAAGACTTTCCTATAATGTTCGAGAGTTGGAAGGATATTCCGGAGGATACAAAAACAAAGTTTTATGATTTAAAGATAAAGGTATCATTAATAAACAATTACATATTTTTTAAATTAATTTCAAGGTGATTATTATTTGCTTTGTTAACTATTTTTTTTTATGGTTAGCTCCACTTTCTTGTTGATGATGGGCGTGACAAAGAATTCATACTTGCTTCTGCTGCAAAGAAATGGAAGAATGACCGACATCAATTGTTTCGCCAATTTTATAGATGGGATCTCACTTTGGAGGAAAATCTTCAAAATTATCCAATAATGCAGAGGCATTCTGGAAAATGATTGGGCTGTTTTTGTTCAATATAGGCGGAAAGAAAAAACACAGGTAATATTAGTGCTTTTATTTGTTAGATTTATCTGGTTTGTATGTTATCCCTATCTATAATGCATGTTTTTAATTGTTAACTATGTAGAGAATAGCTCAAAAAAATGCCAAAAATAGAGAAAAATTGAAGACTCCACATACACTCGGATCTAAGTTGCTTGCAAGGAAGAAACATGAGTTGGTATGTCTAAATTTATATAGAGTTGAATGTATTACTGATGGTAAAAATAATTAATATATTTTCTTATTTGTAGGAATCGAGAGATGGACGAACATACAGTACAGGAGAAATGTATGCAGTTTCTCATAAAAAGTCTGAAGGGTCTTTTGTCAGTGAAGATGCATACAATAATAATGTAAGTACAAGTTAATTCTTTTTAAATATTTGTTAGTCTCCTTAAGGTATGATAAAAAATCAAACCTTTTGGCATCTCTTAAAGGTGGGGAGAACGTGTCTGAAAACTGATTAAATTAGATTGAGAACTGTGATTATTTGAGTTAATTAATTAGTCTTGTAACAATAGATTGTGCTCTTTATAAAGTCAACTAATTATTCAGACAAATAGAAATAAAATATAAAATTAAGACAAGATTACATTTTATATATGATGTGAAAACATATAATTCTACTAGTTACATACTTATGTGCCTTAGATGAGAATAGTTGGTAACATATATTTTCACTAAAGCATAACTTTTACAAATACTGGAATTCAAATTTTAAATAAATACAAGTAGTAAGATGAAAGTTTAACATGTATACAAATTTTTCATAATCAAATATGTTATTGGAATTGAAATTTACCATCACAAATGCATACTGGAATTGAAATTTTAAATAATTCGAGCAGCCAATAAAACTTGTTGGAATTTAAATTTACCATCGCAAATAGATTAACTAGCTAAACCAAGTTTTAAATTACTAAACATCTTTTTCATCAATACAAATTTATCAGTTTTTGCTAATAATCATTGTTTGTTTCCCCTTAAGACGTAGAAATTTTTTTGTTAGATAGATTAAAAAGTTAAGTTAAGTTTGCTTGAGCAATTTACTCTTTTTCATGTGCAGGAAAAGTTACAAGCTGCAATTAAGGATTCTGTGTCTGAAAATGAGGCATTTCATAAAGTATTTGGAAAAGAACAACATAGATATGTTCGTAGTATGGGACTTGGAGTTACGCCATCTCATATTAATAGATCTAAAAGATCGACATCTTCTTCTGTAGAAAATGAAAAAATAAAGGAAATGCAGCAAGAAATTATTGCACTTAAAGAAAAAAATTCAAAAATTGATGAATTGATGGAGGCAATCACATTCTTAAAGAAAAGAGACAATGCTATGAAAGAAGAAATTGAAGTCTTAATGCAAATGCAAAATTCTAGTGGAAGACAGGTATATTATTTTGATGAATTTAAAGTTAAAGCTTCGGAGTATTATATTAAAGAATATTATTTTAATACAATTTTATTTCAGGGATTGGAATCACCTACTAATGGTAGACGTTCATCTGAGTCTAGCTACCGAATTCCATAATGACATGCTTTCTAGATTATGAACCTTCTTATTCATTTTTGGCACAATGATACTTATTGTTATAAGATTATGATTTGATATGTTTTCGGATTTTTGTATTACATGACATGATTATGGAACTTTCATCTTACATGATTATGAAACTCACGTTTTTTTCGATATTATAATGTTTATTTGATATTAAGTTTTGGAATTAATTTTACTACGCTAAGAGCGATAGAAAAAAATATTTAAAAAAAACTATAAATAAAAATATTATTGTATAAATAATTTAAAGAAAAAATAATATAACTATTTTAGTAGATAATAATTTAAATAAAAGAATATATTATAAAAAAATATAATACAATATATAAAACTTAATAATGAACCGTCAAGATATCACATTCACGACAGTTTTAAACCGTCACAATCAACAATGGTAACAAAAATCAAAAGGATATTCACGACATTATTTAACTGTTGTCATTTCTAATTTATGTCAGTTCCAACCAGTTGTGAAATAGAGTTCATGACAGTTTTAAACCGTCACAATCAACAATGAAAATAAAAACCAAAAGGCTAATAACGACGGTCTTTAACCGTCGCTATCTCCAGTTTAGGTCAGTTTAAGCCCGTCGTGAAATATAATGACCGTTGTGTGTGACGGTTTTTTCAATCGTCGCTAAACAGCCTTGGGACACACGTTTCTGCGACGGTACTACAACCGTCGTAGAATGTAATTAGTGGTGGTTTTAACCGTCGTACCCTGCCAAAATAACCGTCGCAATCCATCGTTTTTCTTGTAGTGTTTCTCCTTTTCGAGCTCCTTATGCTTCCTTCTACAAAGTCATCATCTATTTCACTCTCGTCATCAACGTTAACACTAACCTCTTCATCTACTTCATCGACAGTAACCTCTTCATATACTCCATCGACACTAACCTCTTCATCTACTCCATCAACACTAACTTCTTCATCGTTTGCTCCCTCGACATTAACTTCATCGTTTGCTCCCTCAACATTAACTTCATCATTTTCTCCCTCGATATCAACATTAACTTCATTGTTTGCTCCCTCGACATTAACTTCATCGTTTGCTCCCTCGACATTAACTTCATCGTTTGCTCAATAGCAGAGCATTGGAATGAAAATTGAAAAACATAACCCTTTATGTTTTTCATATCTTTCAAGAAAAATGCAAGGTTTTTTTTTTCCGACTTAGTTCTTTTTTAATACGCACATATATGATATATCTGCGAATTAAAAAAGGGGATAAATAAACATGAGAGTGTCGATTTAAACGCAAATATATATAAATAAAATATTGGTAAACCTTGTGTATCACATGGATACAGTCCCGTTCACCAAATATATGGTCCAAAGATAAGGTACGTTGTATTGCACCAGCAATAATTGAGCCATGTGTTTGGCATTGTATCTTATGGATAACACCGAATATTATATGATTGGATGTTAGATTTTATATCCAATAAAATTACTATATTGTCTCAAGAAATTTATCTATAAATATATGAAAGTTTAGTATCCTTAAGATATTATAACCTTCATACTCTACAGAGTTCACCAAAACATATTTCTTTTCTATCGATGGCAGAGGCAAAACATCAAGGAACTATTCCTCCTCAGGAAGTGGCAAGTGAGTTATAATTTTGCTCTTTCTAAATTTAACGGTTCATTTAGTTTTTCTTTTTGTTGAGAATTAATTATTCTAACTATGTTGATATTTCTTTAATTTTGAAGGTGCTACAAAAACAAGTTGGCCTGAGCTGGTTGGTGTGAGTGCAGATGAAGCTGAGAAGAAGATAAAGGAAGATAAGCCTGACGCTTATGTTCAAGTGGTGCCGCATGATCAACCTTTTGTTACTTCTGATTTCGTATTCAATAGAGTTCGATTATTTCTGGATGAATCTAATAAGGTTATCAAGACTCCAATCATTGGCTAGTTCATTAACCCAATGTCATTCGGAGGAGATATTGCTATGAAGCCAATGGTGATGATGTTGTGTGAAGAATAAATTAAGTTTCTTTTTCATGTCTTCTTTTCTTTTGTTTGTATCTTGAACATGTCTTTTCTTTTCCCTTTAATAATATATCTCCTTTGAATTTTGTAAGATTCAAATATTTGACAATCTTCCATTTTGGGTTAAATGATATACATGCTCTAACTTGAGGTTGTATTTCAAACAAAAAAATTGAGCATTGAGTATGTTCAAATCCTTTTTAAATAAACTTTCAAAACATAAATAGAAAGTGAATTCCCAACCAAAAAAATTGTACAAATTAATCAATTATTTTTCTCACTAAAATGTGAAATATTTCATATTTAAAGGAATATAGAGTGTGTAAAATATTCTTTCATTTAATTAAAAAAATTTAAGGGACAATATTCATATTAAAAAATATATTAATGATCAATATTGAGTTAGTTTCAAGACAAAGATTGTTTTCAATACCTTCTCTTAGCATATGCAATAGGAAACACAACTTCAAACAATTCAGCTTGCAAGGAGATGCAAACTCTAACTTTAGCTGATAAAATTCTCAATAATGTTACTTAATCATCTCTAAATATGTCACCACAAGTTGATGTTCTAGGATTTTTTTCTTGAAGCTCCATTTGTGTTGCACTTAATTCTATTATGATTAGGAAAACACCAATTAACTTATATGATTATAGGTGTGGGTGGAGATCGACATTTAATGTCAAAATATTTATTAACTTTAAACTTATGAATTGAAAAATAATTGTGCCCTTTGAAAGAAGCAAATTTCATATAAATCAATCGTTTAACATGAAAATTTCTCTGTCAAAGTCAATTTTACCATTTTGAAACTTCATATAATTTTTTGTGTACCAATTTTTTCTATGATGTATGATGATGATTATTGTGATGAACTATGATGATAATTATTATGATGAGCTATGATGACATATGTATGAAGATGATTATTATGATGAGTTATCACTACTAGAAATGTTGTATTAAGCCTCGGCCATTTTCCGACACTATCAGGCAAAAAACCGCCGCTGCTAGTCAATTAGCCTCGGCCTAGCGTCGGTGTCGGGGATAGGCTAAAACGATCGAAGCTAACATTTAGCCTCGGCCAAGAAGAGTCGTGGCTAAATGTAGCCTCGGTCTAGCCGTGTCTAATTTAGCCTCGGTTTAGCCGTGTCTACTTTAGCCTCGGTGAAGCCGTGTCAAAAAACAAAAAATAGCCTGGGCCTGACCGAGACTAAAGTCAAACTCCATAAGCTCACGTGCTATTTGTCGCTACTGCGAAAATCGGCGCTGGCAATACAGAAGAGTCGCCACCGTGCGTTATTTATCCCAAAGGAGGGAAAGGAAACGCTCGAAGTAAACCTAACGCAAAGACGGGAAAAGGTATGGTCATTGCAACCAAAACCTGGATTCGGGAGTCGGTTACGCAAGGGGAAGGTATTAGCACCCCTCACGTCCATCGTACTCGATGGGATCCACGCTTGCTGGTTTGTACGGATTACACTTCTATCTAAACTAAAGGATGAGGTCTGAAAAGAAAAGAAAACATGACTCGATAAAGCATTGCACTTTATGCCTACGTATTCCCGTCTGGAACGAGAAATCAGAGTCAACGTAGTTCGCCTAACTACGGGTGAAGGTGGGGAAGGTTGCTCGCTAGGATATCGCATCCTATGCCTACGTACTTCCACACAGCACGGAAGATCAGAGCAAACGTAGTTCGGGCTACGCACGACACAAGCTGTTCAAGTGTCTTTTATGAAAAATCTCACCTTAAACAAGGGTTTTCTTATTGCAAAAAGGTTGATGTTCGTTCAAATCTTTTGACGGAAGAAGTGAATTGATTGTTGTTATAACCTTTATTAATGTTTTTCTGTTGTTCTGAAGAAAGAAGAGATGACACTCTACAAATCCTAGGGTTGAAAAGGGAATCACACTAACCTAATGTTATCATGCATGGGTTAAGACCTAATGTCTATCACATCCTCCCTTGAACAAGGAAGAATGGAAGTCCTACGGGAAAGGAAAACGAAAGGAAGAAACAGAAATACAAGTAATAACCGCATATAAGTGAACATGAATATAACAATGATAAATACGATGAAAAGGAGGGAGGAAGGTTCATCTCAACATCAAGCCCATTCATGGATGGAATAAGAAAATATCAAGTGATCATATGCAAAGAATCGAGTGAAAACTCCGAGTGAAACGCGTAATCCACTATTTGGAATCGCAACGTGCTATCATGCAAACAAGTCGATAATCGGGCAAACTACACATACAAATAACAACCACCTAAAGGTCTTCCAATACCTCTAACCTATCTACAATAAGAAATATAAGCCACGACGTTCATCACGCAAACACAAAGCGGCCGTTGGAGCCTTAACAAAAATAAAGTCCGTTCGGAAGTCCAAATTACAAGTTCGAATACAAAACATAAGAAAAATAGAAAGAGGTGCTAAAAAATTCAAATAAAAATCTCCAATGCCCTACATCAAGCCACAAACCAGGGGTGAGAGATACCATAAAAATATCCACAAGTAAATGGTCAAACAAGGTGAAAACAATGCAAGATATCTCATGTATACCAAAGGAAAGATTAAAATGGAGCATGTTAAAGAAAGCATCCAAAACCAATTAAAATGGTACAATAAAATTCCCACAAAAATACATCACAATACCTCATCATGTGTAGAATACCCCTGCAAAAGATTTGACGTTTAAACAATGTTTTGATAGGTCAAACAAAATTCACAAAATGATAGCACCAGCATTGCTAATTTTTTGACAACTAAAATGTAAAAAACTCTAATAAAATGAAGAAAAATGGAAAAAATATGCTTCCAAATCTGTAAAATCCCAGACATCTTGAGGATTACGCAGAAAAAAAAGGGGATCAAAAAGACTAATTTTCCTATTTTTTATGGTATTTAGAAGTCAGCATATAAAACAGAAAAAATAAAAGAAACATGGCAATAGGAAAATAAAAGAAAATAACATGAATAAATAAAAGTGGCATGAGGCTTATGTGGCCGATTGCGTGGCGCAGTGAGCGGAGTTGGATGAATGGAAGAAACCTTGACTTGGAAATGCATCCGACGATGTTAACACCTTCTTCTCCAAATCAAATTTTTCAACTTTGTGAATAGTAACCCGCAGCTCCATGAACATGAGTTTTTTGCTACTTTGAAGCACCATAACTCCATCAATAATTATCCGTTTCGCACAAAATTTTGGTAAAACTTGAAGGAAAAAAAATCAAGGAATCCAAATATGGTCTTAGATTTTCTTGAAACTTTCTCTAACTCCCAAAACGTGGCACCTCAAGAAAAACTCAAGAACCAAAAATTGTCATAAAACCCATCTTTTTTGTACTAGAATCCATGTAGGAGATGAGAGCAATGTAATGCAACAACAATAATGCAAGAAAGACTCATAAATCATGAGTTATGTCGAATTCTTTATACCTCCGAAAAATGGCTTATGGAGCTTCACTCGATCACCAATTCTTTGAGAAAATGATGTGGACACGTCCTATAATTGATGAGGAAGGTGTTTGAATGGAAAGAAAGGAGTGAATTGATGGAAAACAAAAAATCAATTTTTCACTTGGAGCTCACTTTAATGGAGTTGTGTAGCTTGGTTCATGCATCAATTATGGCCAAAAAAATGTTGAATCAATTGTAAGAATGATAAGGAATGTATTTGCAATGGTGGAATGAACCAAAAGTGGGAGAAAAATGGAATTGAAAATTTGAGTTTTCAAGTGTAGAAAAATGTGGGGGAAATGGAAAAATGGTGAAGAGAAAAATGAAGATTCAATATGATTTGCAAATGGAGAAAATGGATTCAACATCAACTATCACCAACCTTTACTCTTAATGATCTCAATCCAATATATAGGAGAGCATGGAAAGATCTAGAGACTTCTAGCTCAATCCAAGATGATTCTAGAAACTTCAAGAATTTCTCATGTTATGACATAATCCCCATCTCATGATATCTCCCTTTAATCTAACTTGCAGCCCCTTAAACACTTTTGAAAATCTCTTTTCATGACAAATTGGAGTGATATGAGTGAAAAACAAGGGATTCCTTTACCTTATGTTGAGTTTCTCACATGTACCTTATTATGCAAGTAATAGAATTACAAAGCAAGTCCATTTTTTAACCCTCAAATCAAAATTGTGGCTGAACCAAAGTCCTTAAAATGTTGTTTAGACTCAACTTGATATATCATATGCCCCATTTTGGATTTGTAGATTTCCCACACCAATTTTCAATTTGAACTTTTTCAACTTATGTCCATTTTTTAAGTCATTTTCACCAACTTTTGTCAATTCTTGCTACAAGCTTCTCCAACATGCCATGACTTCTTTTCTAGGCTTAAAATGTCATTTTGAACAACTTTGATGTTGTGAAGTTTTTCATTTGAAGCTTCCTTGTATGAGTTTTAGGCATAGGCTAAGAATGACCTATAATTTCACTTTCCCAAAATACCCCTGACTTGCACAAACTATAACTTGAGCTTCACATATCAGATGAAGGCATACCATACCTTTTTGGAAAGGGAAGATCATGAGGAACAACCCAATAATTCATTTGAAAACTCCTTGAAGGTCAAAAGTTGCTTGGAAGACACACAACTTTTACAGACAAATTTCAGTGTCCTCAGATGACCTGTAACTTGCAAGAGCTATAACTTGAGTTCTATAAATCATCTTGATGACTTCCACCACTCAAATTAAAGCTATGAAGATACCCTACAAGTTTTATGTGGACCATAAATTCATATGAAGCTTGCATTTTGAGTTACCCTGCTTGGAAGTTTGACCTAAATTAGGGGATTTTACACTGAAACCCTAATTTGGTAACTCCTCCTCTCCTTGATTCCTGTTGATTTTTCTTTGTCACAACACCACATCCATATCCACATATCA